TGTGTGTGTGTGTGTGTACTACGAAGGGGAGAGGGGAAGGGAAAGAATAGGATGATAATGGTAAAGGCTGATTGTAATTATAAACAATGACAATAACAATAATAATAATAATAATAATAATAATAATAACAATAATAATAATAATAACAATAATAACAATAATAATAACAACAATAACAATAACAGTAATAATAGTAATTAAAAATAATTCAAAGTAAATTCTACAAATACCATTACTCTGACCACAAGAGATCGTGAGTGTAAGTAGGTCACGAAAGAACAGATCTTCAAACGCCTCTCCAACGTTAATGGAAGGTGAACAAGTGAACGGCCCGGGAGAAGAACGTGTGAACGAGCAAATCTGATAAAAATGAGTCACTAGTCACAATAGAAAACGGAATCGAAACGTTATTTTTATTTTTTTTTTTTAAGATGTACATTTTATCTTACGTCTGATAGGGATCTGCTGACGAGTTCGAAACGTGATTTATAAGAAAAACATTTCTAGTATGATTTGTGTTTATCTGTATATACGTGATTTTTTTAATTTTGTTTTTATTATGATTATATTTCGTTTTATCTTTTATACGTAAGCATTACTGTCTTCATATTTGCATTCAAGTCGTTCAGGGCTTCATACGACACGACGCCATGTAGGTCTATGTGTACATGAGCTTCCACACGCAACAGACGTACACACAACAAATGGTGTACACATAAACAAATGACGTACACGCAAACAAATGACGTACACATAAACAAATGACGTACACATAAACAAATGACGTACACACAAGCAAATGACGTACACATAAACAAATGACGTACACACAAACAAATGACGTACACGCAAACAAATGACGTACACGCAACGCACACGACGACCAGCAGGTGTCGTACGGCAGCTGAGGACGACCGATCAGCGACAGAAGGAAGCCAGGAAGCCTCGGCGACCGCTACCGACCGCCGACAGCGGGACACGAGGCGGCGGCGGCGCGCGGGGCGGCGGCGTGACTCACCCATCCCCGCATTCCTCGCCACGTGTTTCGGGCGAGCGAGAGGAAAAGTTACGGCGGTGGTCGTTAGTGTTTTTGTTTTTTTCTTTTCTTTGTTTCGATTTTCTCTCTCTGTTTTATTATTTTTTTTGAGTGTTTGTGGCGAGGGAGAGAGGGATAGAGGGTGAGGGAGAGGAGTGTGTGTGTGTGTGTGTGTGTGTGTGTGTGTGTGTGTGTGTGTGTGTGTGTGTGTGTGTGTGTGTGTGTGTGTGTGTGTGTTGTGTGTGTGCGCGCGTGCGTCTACGTCTATGCGTATGTATGTGTATATACAAATTGCCTGAACAGGAAAGGGTAGAAATTACACGTGTATGTGAAGTAGTGATATTTCCATTAATACGTACATATTTCCACTAATACGTACATATGCGTGTGCGTATACCAGACTGTACGCGTAGACCAGGTGACCGAGCGAGCGTATATATTTAGCCAGCCGCCCGTGACAGAGAGAAAGAGAGAGGGGGAAACGAGCAATTGGAAACCCGAGGTATTTATCTTCCCATAATCCTTCTAATTGCCCTGTTTTTCGGTTCCCAATCGCCCCAAACGACCGATAGTTTGGCGGGGGAATTTTGTCGACGTTTGGCCCCGTCGGCATCTCGTTCTCGCCACGTGGTTATGGGAGGTATTTTTTGTGGATTTTTACCAATAGTTTTTCTTTTCACGGAATGAGGGACTTGGGAGAAGGGGGGGAGGGAGGGAGGGAGGTGGAGGGGAGAGAGAGGGAGGGAGGGAGGGAGGTAGGGGGAGAGGAAGGTGGAGGGGGAGGAGGGGAAGGGGAGGGGGGGAGGGAGGGGGAGAGAGAGGGGAGGGGAGGGGAGGAGGCGAGAGAGAGGGAGGGAGGGAGGAGGGGGAGAGAGAGGGAGGGGAGAGGAGGGAGGGAGCGAGGGAGAGAGAGGGAGGAGGGAAGGGAGGGAGAGAGAGGGAGGGAGGGAGGAGAGGGAGAGAGGAGGGAGGGAGGGAGGAGGGGAGAGAGAGAGAGAGGGAGGAGGGAGGGAGAGAGAGAGGGAGGGAGGGGAGGGAGGGAGAGAGAGGGAGGGAGGGAGAGGGAGAGAGAGAGGGAGGGAGGAGAGAGAGAGGGAGGAGGGAGAGAAGAGAGGGAGGGAGAGAGAGAGAGAGGGAGAGGGAGGGAGGAGGAGAGAGGAGAGAGAGAGGGAGAGAGAGAGAGAGAGAGAGAGAGAGAGAGAGAGAGAGAGAGAGAGAGAGAGAGAGAGAGAAAGAGGGAGAAGGGAGAGAAGAGAGGGAGAGGAGGGAGAGGGGGGAGAGGGGGGGGGAGGGAAGGAGGAGGAGGGAAGAGGGGAGGGAGAGAGGGAGAGAGAGAGAGAGAGAGAGAGAGAGATAGGAGAGAGAGAGAGAGAGAGAAGAGAGAGAGAGAGAGAGAGAGAGAGAGAGGAGAAAGAGAGAGAGAGAGAGAAAAGAGAGAGAGGAAGAGTATCTGCCTCATATGTTGAGAGAGAAGAGACTAGTGCCTCATCTGCGCTGTGCTATTAATGTCACGTCTGTGACTTGCGCTTCTCGACTCGCATTTTTTTCCCTCGCTTTTGTTTTGTTCTGTAGATCCCAAGGCGCCATTATTTTATTTTAAAGACTTCTGAGAATTATCTTCCAAAGAATGTTCCCGGAGCTGGCGCACTCTGGCGGAGATAATTCGGTTATGCGAATTGGCGGGAACTTTTAAACGTGCAATTCAAACATGCCAGCTTTTTCCCTCTCTCTCTAGCTCTTTCTTTCTTTCTTTCTTTCTTTCTTTCTTTCTTTCTTTCTCTCTCTCTCTCTCTCTCTCTCTCCTCTCTCTTCTCTATATATATATATATATATATATATATATATATATATGAGTGTGTGTGTGTGTGTATGTGTGTATGTATATAGTGTGTATGGTATAGTGTGTGTGTGTGTGTGTGTGTGTGTTGTGTGTGTGTGTGTGGTGTGTGTGTGTGTGTGTGTGTGTGTGTGTGTGTGTGTGTGTGTGTGTGTGTGTCGTGTGTGTGCGCGCGCGCGCGCGTCAAAGTCAAAGAGAGATGGGAAGAGGAGGGCAAAGGAGGGAGGCAGAATAGTTACCCCTCCCCTTCCCTCCCTTCTTCCTTTCCCTCCCTCCCTCCCTTCCCCCCTTTCCCTCCCTCTCTCTCTCCCTCCCTCCCCCCGCCCGTCCTCCCTCCTTCCTTCCCTTCCCCGTCTGTGGAAACTCGTCCAAAGGGTTGCGCTCCCACAGGGGGTTTCCTGCGCAGGGTTACTAGGGTACAGGTTCACAGGGGGGGGGGGAAGAGGTGACGGGGAGGTTAGTGGGTTACCCGGTGAAGCGCACTGGTAGGGACAGGTACAGCCGGGGGTCAGGGTGGGGGTGGGGGTGGGGTGGGTGGGGGTGGGGCGACTGCAGACGGCGGTGGTTTCCGAGAGAAGGGAGGAAGGAAGAGGGAGAAGGAAGGAAGGAGGGAGGAGGGAAGGGAAGGAAGGAGAAGGAGGAGGAAGAAGGAAGGGAAGGGGAGGAAGGAAGGGGGGAAGAAGGAAGGAAGGAGGGAAGGAGGGAGAAGGAAAGAAAGAAAAGAAGGAAGGAGTAAAGGGAAGGAGAAAGGAAGGAATGACGGAGGAAAGAGGGAAGGAAGGAAAGAGACAGAGAAGGACAGAGAGAGTGTAGGAGGAGGAAAAAAAAGGAAAGGAAGACAGGGAAACACAGAAAGAAAGAAGGACGAAGTGAGAAAAACGACAGAGACAGAGAAAAAAGGAAAGAAGAATGGAAAAAAAAGAAAAGAGGGAGAAAGGAAAGGGGACAAGAAGGGAAAGAGAAAGGAGGATGGATCGCCACTCTCTCTTCCTTTTGTGTGGTTTAACGCCCGTGCGAAGCCAGCAGGCAAGCAGGCAGGCGAGTAGGCGAGCAGGCAAGCAGACTGTTCAGCTATATACGCGGAAGGAAGTTAATTTAGCTGGCGATTTAGGAAAAAAGTAGTAAATAATTGTACTAAATTTAGGGAAAGAGAGGAAAGAGAGAGGGGAGAGGAGAAAGAGAGAAGAAAACGAGAAAGAGAGAGAAGAGAGAGAGAGAAGATGAGAGAGAGAGAGAGAGAGAGAGAGAGAGAGAGAGAGAGGAGGTAGAGAGAGAGAGAGAGAGAGAGCGAGACGAGAGCGAAGAGAGAGAGAGCGAGGAGAGAAAGGAAAGTGAAGAAAGAGAGAGTAGCGCGCGAGGCGAGGCGTAGGTGGCACAGGCAGGCACGCAGGTGAGGGCCAGAGACGCCACCAGGTTAAAAGGAAGGAAGAGGGGGAGGGGAGGGGCGGTGAGAGGGGGGGGAGGGCGGTGAGAAGGAGGGAGGGTGAGAGCGTGAAAGGGGGGGGGAAGACGAAGGGGGGGAGGGCGGTGAGAAGGAGGGAGGAGGCGAAGAAAGGGGGGGGGAAAGACGAAGAGATGGGAAGGCGGGAGAGAGGGGAGGAAAGCGGGAGAGGGAAGGAAAGGCGGTGAGAGGGAGGGGGAGGGAAGAGACGAAGAAAGGGGAAGGGAGGTCAGTGAGAGAATGGGGGAAGGGAAGACAAAGAGGGGGGTCTAAGGGGGAAGAGGGGGGGGGCGTGCGGCAACAAAGAGGCTGTGTGAAGGTTCTGAATTTTTTCTCTCTCTTCTGTGACATTTGGCGTTCTCGGCTTTCTGCGGTTCTCCCATTCCGGGGAAAACTTTGTGGTTCGGTTTTATTTATCTATTTTTGTGTGTGTCTGTTTTTGTGTTTTGCCGGTGATGTCATTTTTATTTTTATTTTTATGTTTTTTTTTTCGCCTTTTCGTAATTCGACTTCCTCAGATAAGCCATTAAGAAATGAGAAGAAATACTGAACAGCCGAGCAATAGTGATAATAAAGGAGGAGATCCCAGTCTAAGCAGCCATACTATTATTCATTCTAGACTTAAACTTCCTTGCGCCGCTAAGAGGCCCAAGAGGTCCGGCACCGAGCCCGCGCGTCCACTTACGTAATGCACTTCGATGGACTTGATGGACTCGAGCGTCTCGTCCTCGTCGTAGGTGAGCGTGTACAGGTCGTTGACGTAGATGCTCTCCACCTTGTACTGGCGCTTGTAGCGGGGGAAGTGCTGCGAGCGGCGCAGGCTGGCGGCCAGCGTCGGCGGCAGGCTCTGCAGCTCGGCCGCCCTGTCGCGCCCCTCGCCGCGCCCCTCGCCGCGCGGGGTCGTCAGGCTCTGGAACCTGTCGAAGCGGGGCAGCGGCGCCAGGGTGGAGGCCGCGCTGCTGCCGCCGGAGAGGGACGTCCTCGCCGAGGAGCTTCCCGGGACCTCCAGGAGGTTGACCTCATCCTCGACGGACGTGATCGAGGGCGGGACGTGGCCGACCGACTCGAGGAGGTTGACCTCGTCCTCGACCGATGTGATCGAGGGCGGCACGGAGGCGGACGCCTGCGAGCGCCCGCCCTCGTCCTCGATGAGGCTGCTGACGGAGGGCGGGCCGCTGTCGTGCTTGCCCGAGGTGGGCGGGCTGGAGGAGCGGAACACCGGGTTCTCGCCCTCGACGGCCACCTCCGCTTGCTCCGAGACTTCGTTCACGGTCATCGCTGGGCCTCAGAGCATGCCTGGCGTGGGGAACGGACAGCGGGATCAGCGGGACGGCCTCGGCTCGGAGACAATGGCGCGGCTCCGTCAGGGCGCCGCGACTCGCGTTTCGGGACGCCAACTGACGGGGCTAATTGACCCCCCCCTCTCTCTCTTCTCTCTCTCTCTCTCTCTCTCTCTCCCTCCCTCCTCCCTCCCTCCTCCCTCCCTCCCCTCCCTCTCTCTCTCTCTCTCTCTCTCTCTCTCTCTCTCTTAATAACAACAGGAACCCGTCACTGAACTTCATTCCGTCGAAACAAGGACACGGACTTCGGGATCCAACCAGATGGAGCTTTTTTTAACGCATGATCGGCTGTGCATGACGACTCGCATGGCGGGACAGGTCCGGGACCAAACAGGACAAAACTAGAACTTATCCTGGAGTTCAAACACACGTACGAACACGTATAAACACATACACGCACACACACACGCACACTCATTTACTCTCACGTGCACACATATACCAACACCCTCTCCGTGCACATACGCACCTTCTGCAAGAGTAGTGTGCATTCTCTCTCTCTCTCCCTCCCCCCCTCTCTCTCTCCCTCCCTACCCCCCTCTCTTCTCTCTCTCCCTCCCTACCTCCCCCCCCCTCTCTCTCTCTCTGTCTCTCCCCCTTTCTCTCCACCTCTCTTTCCCCCCCCCCTCTCTCTCTCTCCACCCTCTCTCTCTCCCCCCTCTCTCCCTCCCTATCCCCCTCTCTCTCTCTCTCTCTTTTCCTACCCCCCTCCCTTCTCTCTTCTCTCTCTCTCCACCTCTCTTTCCCTACCCCCTCTCTCTCTCTCTCTCTTTCCCTCTCTCTACACGACTATCGCAGACGCGTTTCCCTCCGACGCAACGACGTCGTTATATCACCACAAGAACCTCGAGGCAACTTGTCCAAATGAGCGCGATTACAATGGTCACAAAAGCACACGAAAAAGTGAACAATAATACGTATAATTCTGCCAGGATGAGAGTCACCTTCACGGGTTCATCACCCATGGTATTCGCACACACAAACGACGTACAATTAATATGGTGCACAAGGTGTATTGTGCAGTAAAAAATATTGTGTTTTTAATCTCTTGTGCAGGTAGCTTATGGTTCACTTTAATGTTAGTATGTTGTACATTATAGTGTATTGTACCATTAATATATTTCACACTTTAAATCTACTTTACAGTTCATATATAACACTAAATATTGTACGAAAATTGCACAATTTTCACCACTTCACTCATCACACCTTCACGAGACGCATCACCATACTTTCCAGTTTTGGAACGTTTCTTACAATACAAAATGTCACGAATCACTCACACGCCGTCTAAAAATTCTAAATAAATAGAACACAGCCACCATCTAAAGTTAGATTTCTGTCAGTCACGACCTCATGACTACTGAAGCTGTCTGATCGCGCAACAGAGACAGCTTCACGTACTCGACTCAGTACAGTTACGTACACAGCGCACCGCCGGGTAAATTGTACATTTTATAAGGTTTCCATTTTGGTGGATTAGTTTCACTTTTCACTCGACGCAAAAAGAAGCCCCAATAAACACATTCGAACACGGAATATTATTTCCCCATCCGCGCTTTTCCTCACCTCCCCCCCCCCCCCAAATAAGTTTCCACATCTCGACTACACTTCGGTAAGAATTCACTCAAAAATAAACACACACGAGCGCTCATATCAACCTTCACTTCTATGGACGGGGATCCGAACACTATCTCTTGGTCTTCCTTTGTTTTTTTCTCTAAATACTTCGCAAAAGGGGGACTCGTTATCCTGCCAAAAGTAATCGAAAAGTCCCGATCTCGACTCCAGCAGCTGTACGGAGGAGCGACTGACTGCTCGCACTGACGTTCCAGCGGCCGACGTTTCCACGCTCAGCTGACGGCCGCGAGCTGGAGTGACGTCACGTCCGGTAAGAAGGCGGCCAACACGGTAATATAGTCGATGGGCGATTTTCTTTTATTTTCTCTCCCTCGCTATCTGGGAATCGTTTTTATACTTTTGTTATTATGAATTTGCGGAAAGGGATCTATTTATCTTTTAGTTGCATACATAGGGTAAGATATTAGTCGTTTGGGAGGTATTTTTTGGATCGTTCTCGCCCCTAAAAAAGGGTTGTGCTTTCGAGGAGTTCGTACGGGGGCGGCGAGGCGTGCAATTTTCCCATTTTCCCGCGCGCTCCCGGCCTCACTCCACGCTACACAAACTACGGAAGATCATAAGGTTAGCTTTAACATCCATCTCTTTTTTTTTTTAATTCTAGAAAGACGCTTTTGAAATATGACAAGAACCGCAAACAGGAAGGAGCTATTTGTCTACGGTTTTTTTTTCCGTTTCTCTTTTGGAGGGAAAATATTATCGCTGAAAGCCGACCCTCTCCGGCGCGGCTTCGCATATTTACAAGGGAAACATTACTTCGCAACCTCAGCCTCTTGCGCCGTTGCTAATAGCCTCGCAACAGTGGACAACCGCATCGAATTATTGCACGTTGGGATTGCAATAAAATTCGCAGAGATTCTCCGTTCGACAGCAGCCCAAACCTTCCCTCGTGACTTTAGCGAATCAGCCCAAACCTTCCCTCGTGACTTTAGCGAATACGAGCGAACACGAGCGAGCGAGCACCCACGCCCACACCGCCACCTGCGCGGGTTCGCTCCGACGCCCATTTCTGTGAACGCCCTCAGTACCTCGCAGACTGGACGCGGGCGTGAACATCTGCGCATTCCTATCCTCTATTTTTTTTCTTTTTTTTTTGGCGTTGTTCACGTCTGTTCATAATTACGGGGTTTAATTTTCCTTTTGTATGATATGTATTAGATGGGAGAATGGAGGTATGAGGGGAGGGGGGGAGGGGAGGGGAACGGGGGAAAAGGGGGGAGGGAGGTTGGCAGATGTGAACGGGACGCGTTTCAGAAGCGCATCGAAAAAATAATAATAATAAAAAATAACATCAAGAATATATATCGACACGAATTTCTTTAAATATCTTTCGCAAGAATTCTCTCATCACTTCCTCCTGCATCACATCCTTTGCAATAATACAACAATGAAAAAAAAAACAACAATAAAAAAGAGGCGGAGCTTCCCATGGTGGCACCCCCCCCCCGCCCCCCCCACAATCTGATTGGCCGCCCCGTGCCCCCCCCCCCCCATGGTCACTGACTAACTGTACAGCAATCATAATGTTCTGTGTGTCAGCCTAAAAAAAATATATATATATACATCCAGCAGATTGAATGAGGTCAGGAATATCAAGATGAAAACATAAAAAACATAAACAATGTGTAACTGTACAATATAAGTATTGAATTGGGCAGCCTTATTGTTTGTTATTTTTGCCCCCCCCCCCTAGATTTTATTGTTGTTTACCCCCCTATGCCCCCCCCCCCCCCTTCCAGGAAATTCTCTGGACCCCCCCCTGCAAGAAAAACAAAACAATATAAGAACAAATGAAATGGAATTTTAACGAGTCACGGAGGAGAAGGTCAAGTGAGACGAAATGGCGAAGACAGCGAGGACAGATTGCAGTTCCCGGATGTCAGTCGGGTTCTAATCTGGTGACATCGATTTGCGGACAGGAAGAAACACCTCAGGCGGATGACCCTTGGCCTTTCCTCACGCCCACGGGTCGTTCTTGCCCTTCGCTTCACGCCCATGGGTTTGCTTCACGCCCATGTTGCTCTTCGCTTCACGCCCATGTGGAAATTTTGCTCTTCGCTTTACGCCCATGGGTGAATCTTCCCTTCGTTTCACGCCCATAGAATCTTGCCTTCGCTTCACGCCCATGGGTGAAATCTTGCCTCACGCCCATGGAAAATGCTTGCCCTTCATTCACGCCCACATATATACATTTCCTGCCCCCTCATTCAGACCCACAAATACATCTTACCCTCCAACCCACGCCCATGTATAACTCTTAACTCCACCCCCCCAAAAAAAAAAAAAAAAAAAAAAAAAAAAAATCTAACCCACACGCCCACTACAAGACACGCCCACAGACGAGATGCTCAGGAGTTGCATGTCAGTCTGGAAAGTTCTAACAGCCCCTCCATGTCATGATGAGAACCCCCCTCCCCCCTCTCCACCCCCACCCTCCCCCTCTAACCCCTTCCCTCCCACCTCCACCCCTTCCCTCCCCGCTCACCCCCTCCATCCTCTTCTCCCCTCCCTCCCCGCTCCACCCCCATCCACCCCCTCCACCTCCATCCTCCACCTCCTCCCCCTCCATCCCCCTCCGCCCCCTCCTCCCTCCTCCCCTCCTCCCCGCTCCACCCCCATCCTCCACCTCCCCCCTCCCTCCCCGCTCCTCCCCCTCCTCCCCCGCTCCACCCCCATTCCTCCCCTCTCTCCCCTCCATCCCCCGCTCCGCCCCCCTCCCCCTCCTCCCCCTCCACCCCCCTCCCTCCCCCCCTCTAACCCCTTCGTCACGGAAAAAGCGATCCCCGCGTTCGGAGATCTGAGCTAACGAGCGCAGGTGTGGAAAATTTATTGGGTTGAGATCAGCTGTTCTCGTCATCAGCTGATAGACAAGGTATGGGTGTGGTTCTGATGATGATGATGATTACAGATTTTTTATTAATTGATTTGAGATTTTTTCTGAGACAGTGGACTAGATGACATTTTGAGAGAGAGGGAGAGAGAGAGATACATGTGTGTATATGTGTATGTGTGTGTGTGTGTGTGTGTGTGTGTGTGTGTGTGTGTGTGTGTGTGTGTGTGTGTGTGTGCGCGCGCGCGTATGTTGTTGTGCACACACACCATATATGCATGTTACATCAAAAAGAAAAAGAAAATAAGAAAAGCGACCTGACCCCTCCTGGCGTCCCTCCGACCCACCTCGACGTAAGCGCTCAGGGGCGAGCCGTGCACCACGCGGCCCTCGGGGTCAAACCGGAACAGCTGGGTCACGGCGGAGGAGGGCTCGACGCCTGGCACCGGCGCGTATCCTTCGTGGGATCGCAGGACTTGGTTCACATACGTCGACATCTTTTTTTTTTTTTTTTTTTTTTTTTTTTTCCTTTTATTTTTTTTTTTTTATTTTTCCTTTCTTCATTTTTTTTTTCCTTTTTTTCCTTTTTTATTGCACTTCTTTTCCAAGTTTACCTTCGTGGATTTTTTTTTTTTCTTAATTTATTTTCCTTTCCTCATTTCTTTTTCTTTTTCCTTATATATTTATTTTATTTTTGCACTTCTTTTCCTTTCTCCTTTATTTCTTGTTTCACGTCGGGACAAAAAAGTTTTTCTCTTCTTTGTAAGCTTGACTAAATTTTTCTTCATGCGTTCCAACTTCTGAACACACAAACACGTTTTTTTCTTCGAACAGCGTGACAGAAACGTTTTCTTCTTCGAACAGCGGCGTGACCAGAACGTTTTCTTTATTTGTACAGCGTGACTAGAAACGTTTTCTTTCTTCGAACAGCGTGACTAGAAACGTTTTCTTTCTTCGAACAGCGTGATCAGAAACGTTTTCTTTCTTCGAACAGCGTGATCAGAAACGTTTTCTTTCTTTGAACAGCGTGACTAGAAACGTTTTCTTTCTTCGAACAGCGTGATCAGAAACGTTTTCTTTCTTTTGTGACTAGAAACGTTTCTTTCTTCGTGCTGACTAGAAACGTTTTCTTTCTTCGAACAGCGTGATCAGAAAACGTTTTCTTTTCTTTGTTTCTTTCTTCGACAGCGTGACTAGAAAACGTTTTCTCAGCGTGACCACAAACGTTTTCTTTATTTGTACAGCGTGACCAGAAACGTTTTCTCTCTTTGTACAGCGTGACTAGAAACGTTTTCTTCTTCGAACAGCGTGATCAGAAACGTTTTCTTTATTTGTACAGCGTTGACTGATCAGAAAACGTTTTCTTTATTTGTAGTGACCAGAAACGTTTTCTCTCTTCGAAACAGCGTGACCAGAAACGTTTTCTTTTTTTGAACAGCGTGACTAGAAACGTTTTCTTTCTTTGTACAGCGTGACCACAAACGTTTTTCTTTCTTCGAACAGCGTGACTAGAAACGTTTTCTTTATTTGTACTTGACAAAACGTTTTCTTGTTGACTAGAACGTTTTCTTTCTTTGGTGACTAGAAACGTTTCTTTCTTCGAACAAAAGACCAGAAACGTTTTCTTCCTATGTACAGCGTGACCAGAAACGTTTTTTCGTCCACTGGAGATGAATTAAACAAGCACAAACTATTCACCCCAAAACCCTTTCACGAAACACACAAACGTTCACTACTGACTATTATGAAACCAATCCGTGTTATCACTGATGAATCTTATCCGATATCTCCCTCAAGATGTCCCTTATCGCAAATCGAACCATAGTAATTCACCGATATAACACCCCCCCCCCCCCCCCGATTTAGCTGATAAGAGAGAATGTATCACTGATAACGTTTTAGTAGGCCTACGGTGGTTTGTCTTGTATGTGTGATATTGGTCTCTGATACATGAGTTTTATCTCGCTCTCGATGCTGCAGACTCCTTCCTCTCGTCAACTAGGAACCTGGATTCACCTAGACTCACTTGGGACTCAGCTAGACTCACCTACTCACTTGGGACTCAGCTAGACTCGGGACTCAGCTAGACTCACTGGGACTCACCTACACCTACTCACTTGGGACTAGGGACTCAGCTAGCTCACTTGGGACTCACTAGGGGACTCAGCTAGACTCACTTGGGACTCAGCTAGTTCACTTGGGACTCAGCTAGACTCACTTGGACTCAGCTAGACTTGGGACTCAGCTAGACTCACTTGGGACTCACCTAGATTCACCTACTCACTTGGGACTCAGCTAGATCACTTGGGACTCAGCTAGAC